GGGAAATATATTCGAATAAGAATCTATTTAACTTTTAACATTTTAAGAAAAACTCGCATATCAATTATTAAACAAAAGATTTATAATATTCTTTTAAAGTTTTTTACTATATTTATGTTCTAATTGCCTACTTTAAATGAATAATAGCATTTATATAAAAAGTAATTCTTGATTGAGAAAGTAAAGTAACCCTCTTAAGTTGGTTAACGTTGTTTTCCTGTCTCGAAACTTTCAGCTTCCTGCTGCTAATCTGTCTGAACAACTTCAGCTGTCAGGTCCCTCTTTCTATATGCTACCCAATCAATACTTTCTACTTCATCGACCATTGCTGTCCCTCCAGAACACGGGGTCAGTTTGTCCTAATGTCTTTTCGACCACTATTGCTTGCAATCTTTGGGGAGAGGTTTTCTATTAATGAAGGACGGAATTAAAACATTTATTCCGACAGAAAAAACATACTTTACCACATATAATTCTGCTATAATAAATATAATAATAATTCGATTTCTTTCCTAAGGCCTAAAAGAAAACCTGATTTTAAGAAATAAAAAGAAGTGTTTAAAAATATATTAATTTATTATATGAAGCTATCGACTTTATATTCTCTTCTATTTGCATATTAAAAACAATTGAGGAATTTTGTGGTATTTTAAAAGTAAAATAAAAATTTTATTTTCACCATTAAAGCCATTTACAGGTGCAGTTTATGACTACCACTATCTAAGATGTTGCTTGTCCTTTTAAAAATCATTTTTGATAAATTCAGAGATTATATTTTTATCTAATCAATAATAACTTTGTTATAAAAAATTAATAATATTCGTCGAAACTATTTTAAAAAGATTTAAACCAGAAAATAAGTCTGTATTATTTAAAACTCTGCCAAGCTTTCTTGACATTCGGATCGCATAATTGAGAAGCGTATGATTCTCAGGCTCTACAAGAGGAGGGTTAGGAAGGCCATTTGATCCTTTTTTTAAGCTCGGGGCCTCAAGTTTTGGTTATTGTTCAGTGGCGGATTTATGCACGGGAACAACGTGATATCACACGTGTTAATCTCGGTTTTAAACTAGAACCTTCGTATCTTTTCCTAAGAATGATTTTGCATCAGTACAGAAGAGCGAGAGGCTCAAAATGTGTGGTTTTAGTAGATCCTGATAGATTCTATTAAAATATTAAAGAATTTTCTATATAAAGTATATTCTTTAATACATATTTATTACGTTTTTCTAACAGAAAACTAATAGATTAATTTTTTTCCCTTTTAAAACGATTTAAACTACTCCATAGCGTTTATAATACCGACTACAAAATAATTTGTAAATCCGTTAAAAAAAATAAATAAATAGATTTAAACTACATTTAATATAAAAACGAAAAGTAAACAAATTTTAAACAATTTGATCCATATAAAAATAAATTCAAGGGAATAATTCCATCAAATTGCGTTCTCTTATTCACTGGCAGGAAATTATCTCGGTAGATACATTAAAGAGTCATTGTTGGACCCAGCAAGACATAGTTTGACTAATAGGAACTTGGTCGAATTTTCTTTAAAAATACTCATTTTGTAATGCCATAAATCTAGAAAGTAATGATGTGTAGATGATTACATCATCTGTTCCGGTTAGAAAGTAATGTTATGCTTATTTATCGTATAAAAAGTATCAAAGAAAAGGCAGATTTACTTAAGGAGATATAATAAATCTCTAAATGAGTATATCAACTCAAAATTTTTATAATATTTATAAAAGTAATAAAATTTTAAGATTTATTTGATTAAGTTTTCATTCTATGAATATAATAATTTAAGCCAATTTAGTTTTAATAATGAATGCAACTATTTTATGACTTGAATTTAGTTAAAGATTTTGATGTTTTCTGAATTTGTTCGTTATGTAAATTTGCAGAAAATGTAGATTTTGTTTTTTCAAAATGTGTGCCACATTTTAACGTAAATTTGAAAATGTACAGTACGTTACAAAATATGAATTTTTAAAATGTTCGTTAACTAATTCAATCAGCATATGTTACAATGAATAACATTTTTATAAAATTAATTAAACATTGGAAAAAGTATTAAATATTATATCATCGTACATTTAAGGGTAAAACACTCTTAAAATTTTAATGTTTTCAAGCTTTAAATTGGTCCCTTCTCTTTATCATCTTATTAGAGAAACTAATTGGAATTTAAAGTTTTAAATTAAATTCAAGTATATGCCTAAGGGTATAATGTTATATGTAATTAATACGCGAAATATGAAAATTCTTTTGATAATGATTGTACTATTTGAGTCACCTCTGCTTGATAATGCTTCATGGTTATCTGCAAATTACGCTTATTTACAATTAACTGAACTGTTTGTGTGTCTAGATTCGATTAGGATATCGTATTAACCTTAATGGAATGACTACCACAAACAAACAGGATAAGTAGATCCGATTTTTCTTTTTATTGATAGAATTTTAGCTCAAAATTTCAATTTTTGCTGAGTGTCACATATTTTAATTTGATCTGGTTGCAGTATTTTTTGGTCTAACTCTAGCACAACAGGGAGGATGACATACAGTCAAAGCAGTTCCTTTACTAATAGAATATAAAATTTTTCATATAAAAATCGTAAGAGTCGTACTTTTGCTGAATTTTGAACTGAAAATAAAATATTTTTGAACCATTCCAAATCCCTCATTCAATTCTTTTACACAGACAAATCCTCGGTACATTTGGTAAGATAGGAGGCCTTAACTGAACCACACATGGCTGTCTTTGGGCATTTTTCGCATTTGAGCCATATACAGCTGAGGTTGGCTAAAAAATGATTTTTTTACTTCTCTATCTAGAGCCGGGAAGAATCCATCCAGCGTTACATATGTAAGGTTCCAGACACCTGGATAGATAATATCCCCAAATAACGATTTGCAGTCTCTGATCTTCTCCATCTACAGAGGCTGAAGCGAAAGTTGTTGGACGGTTCTGTCTCCAAACATTTGTCAAAATTGAATTGCTATCTAAATGGGAGAATAAAAAAACAGATCAAGCAGGAAGAGGAGAGAGTTTTGGTATGAACTAGGTTCTTTGCTATCATTCTGACTTTCCTCTCGCTCGACAGAATTCCCTGCAGAAGAGAGTAATGTCACAGTCAGCTCTGGGTTCCATCCAACATTTATTATGTTGTCGAAGGGGGCGAATTCGCCCGATGCCATCTTCTGTCATGGGATCTACACCCTGCACAAAACCGGTGACATTTTACACAAATCTCAATATAAGATTACTTCCCCTTTTCTCTGCATAAACATCTTTCTGATGTAGGATTTTCACTATTGTGTTGATGCAAAGCTACATTTTTTCGCAAGGATTTAACACTCGAAAAAGACAATCTGTTTTTGTGTGACTTGTTTTCGAATACTCTTTATTAACTCTTTTACTATATTTCGACGTGATAAGTATATTTTATTTAATTATCTAGCGAGAAAATACGTGATATCGTCTGTTGAATGCTAAATGCCATATTTAATCGTAAAAGTAGCTTAGAAATAAGAAAACTTCTTTCTGTCTACCAATTATAATTCATTTGGCTACTTTTATGTTTGAAGAAATGCTTTCTATTCTCAAGAATTCGTAAATTAATTAAAATAATATAAAAAAGCCAAAAGAATTCTGTATACACGAAACTCCCAGGTTATCCATTAAGATATTTTTAAAATTATTTCTGTCTTTTATATGAAATTTCCAAAAAAACATTTTAAAAACTTCCAGATAAAAACTTACTTTAATTAAACATTTTTATATTAATTTAATATTAATTTGCTTAACATTATGGTAATAATTAAAAAGGATTTGCGTTAAATTTTATCTAGAATGACAGGGAAAGCTTTATATGATAAAGATACAAGAAGTTGTCTGTCCGAATTATTATATAGAAGAAACTAAACTGTGAAGACAATGATGTCACAGTTTAGTTTCTCTTTTAAAACAGTTTGCTAGTTTAATCAACTTTACCTAAGGTATAAAATCTTTGGGATGCTAAAAGTGCAGAGCTAGGTATAATTCAATAGATAAAGCTGACAGCAAGAGGACCCCCTTCCCCCAAATGTCGTATAGTTGGAGTAATGACAGTGGACAGTCGACAAATAGTCTTACGTTCACCCAGTTGGTGTGATTACAGACACGCTCTATTGGTTTTTGTACTTGACAACTTCCAAGTCTCACAGCACTTGATTTCTCTTCAACTTGTCAGCATTTCATATTGATTTATTAAAGGGAAAACCTGGCAAATGCACCCTTTCAATTTATAGAAATCTGATGACCAATTTGGAAAATCTTACTCTTTTATTTCCCATTGACTGACGTATCTTTTTCGGGTGAATTAATTCATCTAGGCCCATCTATTCTCGTTGTATTGCGTTAAGTCCTATAATTTTTGGATTTAGTTTTTAAAGTAAAATATCGATAAAAAGATAAAAATTGTGATTTTTTTTTTCCTCTTTTTTTATTAGGAATTTTTCTGGGATTGAATAATAGATCCTTTCAATTTACTTCAGACTTTTCTATCTAAATTCCGAAACCTAAAATAAATAAATCACTCGGAAGGCCTTTTCATCCATCAGGTTACATTTCTCTCAATTGTTATCCCTTCTTGTTGCTTTCTAAACTCAAAAAACTAAATCTCTGTAAAGGATTCTATTCCTCTTACAAAACAAGATAACATTTATGAATATATATATAAAAAACAATTTATATACTTTTTCTATTAAAATTCTTAATTTGATAAGTTATGCAAAAATTAATTTCTTTTTTTTTTCTTAATTTAATAATATAAATGTAACGTGTAGCTATAGAGAATTTGTTACCAAAATTTAAGTTTAGCTTTAGTAATAGCACTTTTAACTTTTATTGCAGTTGTTAACTCTTACTACGCTACTTCAAAGATAGCACAAAGCAATACTGATAACCAAGCCAATATCTGATTTGAAAATACAAATTACCGGATTTTTACCTGTGTTTCCGTGACGTTCAATAATTTGGCCATTTCGGCCCTTTCACTAGACGACAGGTACTTCTTTACTTCAAACCTCTTTTCTAGTTCAAAGATTTGTCTTCCCGTAAACGTTGTTCTTGCCTTTTTCTTCTTTCCTTTATCAGAGGTTTGCTCTTCAGTAGTTGATGGTGTTGACGCCGTATCTGGTGCTGTAGGAGTAGGACTATCATCTGATGCATCGGCAGTTTTGTCTTTTTTTCTTTTATTACCTTTACCACTTGCAATTTTTACACCTGTCAATAATATTAAAATGTATTTATTTTAATAGAATAATGTAATACAATTTAATATTGAAAAATGACTCATTTCTATCAATTAACGATTTTAATAAAATAATAACTTATTTAAAAAAAACTTTAAACTCAATAGTTTAGCATTGATAAGTTGTATTTATGTTGGAGTACAATTAAAGCTATGATGACTTTCACAGAATAAATATTAAATTTTTTTCTTTGAAGGGTCTTCTCTATAAAATCAAGCATAATAGATTTCGTATCGATGAGCTATTTTTACGTTTGATATAAATTCTAAGTCATTAAATGCTAAGAATAACTTTAAACAAAGAACTAAAAGGAATTTAAGAACAATGCCTAATTCACCTGAAAGAATTCTAAATTCAACTCAATAGATTTACCATAGAGGATATATAAGAGTTAAAAAGAATTTAAAAAATAATAATATGAGATCATTTGAAAAGTTTAATCTATCGGTTTTCAATTTTTGAAGAAATTTTAACATTAACTTGAAAAAAGCCGATTTCTGAAGATCCTTCAAATATTGCTGTTTTCAGGATTTTGAAAAATTTTCAATATTCTTATTTGCAAAAATTTTTAGATTCTTATCGAAATAGACGATTTGGTTCTAGAATATTTCCATAAGTTTTCACCCGAAAATTTTATAATCTGGAGCAATTTTAAGACTAGAAGTAAAAAATATATATATATATAAAAAGTAAATCTAACCTGGAGCATTTCTAAAGTAAAATTTGGTGGTCAGATGGAGTATTTTAAGATGGAATAAAGTTATAAATTAAAAATTTGGAATTTGGAAAAAATAAAAATATATCTAGCATAAGGAACGGAACGTTTTGAATGAGAAAATCTGCATCAGTTTGAAACTTTATCGTATATGTCATTTACTAGACGTTTTATATTTGAATATACTCATGTAATAACTTTGAAAAGTAATGCGAAATTGGTAGAATATAGTTTAAATGAAATTCTTCAAAAAAAGTGAATTGTATAACTATAAAAATAAACGGAATCTATGCCACTCGAATCATGCCAATTACTAAAATCCAATCTAATTATTTTTAGCAGTAATTTTCAGTATAATTCTTCAGAAGATAATTGAAAGTTTAAAGCGACAGTGGAATGTTGTACACACGAAGCGAGAAAATAAAAGTTGGCGAAACAAGCGCAATGGCGAGTCAGACAAATGTTATATTTAGTTCATGCAGAAGCTATTAAGAGTCGTGTATTGAAGAGTGTTGGAATGGTTCCAGGGTGCGACAGTGAGGAAATGGCAGGTGTGTGTTCAGTAGAAGAGGACTGGCATAACAATTAGCGGGTAGTGAGGGAGGGAGGCAGCTCAGCCAACTGATCCGCCCAACTAGATGACGTCACGACTAGTTTAATAGAGCTGTCAGCTGACGATGCATTTTAAGAGCGAAGCAATTTACGATGGATATAATGGAGACAGCCGATAACTGCAGAGATAAGTTGTCAGACAGATTTGGATTTCTCAAAATGAAAATTAGGATAAACAGTTTATTTTTAAGAGAAGTTATTAATCTCTTCAAGGATGAATCGCTAAACTACATAAGTTTTTCTTATCCGATTTATTCTACGTTGTCTTTTAACAACGATTACTCTCTGTTAAAAACAGTTACTTGTAAGATTTTGTTTTCAACACTTTAGTGTTTCCTTTAAAGAACTGGTGCTTTTAAAATTAAAAGAATTCACTTCATGTTTACTAAGTAGCTTCCCTTCTTGTTGCTGGTTTAAGATCGTGGAGAATAGATGATCTAATTCAAGAGACGACTACATTTTCAAACGTATGCGGTTATTTTGCATTCTAATCTTCAAAAATAGGAAGAAATTTCAACGGAATACGACTACTAAATTAAAAAAAAGATGGCTTATTACGATGATATCAATCGCTACTTGGCTGTCTGTTTGTATGTAATCTTAGAAGGCAATAAAACATGGCATTTTCTAAAATATCAATAATACTCTTTCAATTTTTGTAGGAAAATATTTTAATCGTAAAGAAATATTTGATGAAGTAAAATATCTCGAATTTTTTTTAAAGAATTTGGTATCGAGATATCCAAGTTTGCAAAGAACTGTAAGAATTTGTAATGGTAGGAACACAGTCTATTGCCCTGATGGGACCTGCACAGCCCGAGGGATATTTCCCTACAAAACACCTGGCAGATAAGATTTATACAATAAATTCAGAAAGAAATGAATGTCCTGTCTGCTTCCTTCAAGTTTTCTATCCTATTTAATAAATGATTTAGTATGTTCTGTGTACTAATTGGCTTTTCCTCCAAGATATTTAAGCTTTATAATTTTTTGACGTAAGTTGAACGATTTATGAGTATTTAATTCTAAAAATTGGGTTATGGTTGCCTTAAATAGACTTTAACCATTCAATTCATTCCTTCATTGCTCACAGCGAGAAATGAATTATATGGAGTTGAAACGAAACAAGTTATTAATATTCTTATTTAAAACCTTGTTTATTTTCTGATTAAATATTTTTAATCCTGTTGTATAGACTAATATATATATCGAAATGATTTAAAATAAGTAATTTTTAAGTACTTTAAGATATTTGAACCTGATTAATGGGGAAAAATAAACAAATAAACGATTGTTTCTGTTATAAAATTTTTAAAATATTAACAACGTCTTATAAAAATAAACGTGTAAAATTTTAATATTAAAATATTCTCTATAATTTTCTGATTGGCAAAACAAAATTTTTAGGTAAAGTTTACCAAATACAAACAAGAGATTTCTCGAAACAAGAATGAATAAATAGGTTCTATAAACCTGAGTTTAATGATTTTCATACTTTTCAAGAAAAGCATTAAAGAAAGAAAACTATGTAAAACAAATTGGCTAAACATAATTCCTCTAGGATATCGATATCGCTAGCAGTTTCCTTCAGAGATACTACACAGTTGTGTTCGATTGGTAAAATCAATAATGAGACAACAGAGACTGAGATTTACATAAGGAAACAATAGCAAGCAGATCAATCTTTATTGATACCCACATAAACTTAAATTGCTTTACTCAACCGGTTCATGCTTTCCAAACTTGTTTACTACTCAATCCAGACGTCGAGGGGGTTGAAAAATCCCTCCTTCACTGGGTTAATTCTAGAAACTCTGACGTTCGATCACATTCCCTATTACACTGTCGATACTGATCGAAATATAGCAACAAGTTTGCTACATTCGATTCAAGTAAATACCGCAGTTGAGTTTTATCTAAGTCTAAGGTTGTAATCTAGATTCGTCGAAATGGTCGTTCTTAGTTTTCCACCCATTCCACTTCTGTCAGATTACCTGTCACTCAAAGACATCTAAACCGTTGTTGACAAGCTTGTTTTTATAACATTTTTAAAGGCATTCCTTACGTTCCTCTAAATTTAACCAATTTTTTACGATTACTGTAGGCCTATACTTAAAATCTTTATCACAGTTATTCCCCTATAAAACTTATATTTTTAATTATATAAGAGGCAATAAATTAAGAAAGACTCCAATTACGTATAAACCTTCTTATCATTAACAAATAAAAATGATAGACTTAAAAATTCTTACATAAATATCATTTTTTTTTTAATTTTTAAGCACAGCTTAAACATTACANATTAAGAAAGACTCCAATTACGTATAAACCTTCTTATCATTAACAAATAAAAATGATAAAAAGACTTAAAAATTCTTACATAAATATCATTTTTTTTTAATTTTTAAGCACAGCTTAAACATTACAAAAGAAAAAAAAATTACTAAAAAATCTCGATTTAAATATATTCAGACAAAAACAAAAATTCAAATACGAAAGGATCAAGTGCCGAAGATTATTCATATTAATGAAAATGCAATAGTTAGATTTTTACGAAAATTAATCATTTGATTTTCGTCTTAAAAAAAAAAAAACGAAAATTTGCATTTGCCACTTTTGGAAAATCATATGTGCAGTTGTATAGAGATTGCGCAGTTATAACAGCAATAACTTTGGAAGAGAGTGCAGCAACATCGAGCGCTGCAGGAAACATCTATTGGACGACTGGCAATATGTTATTTCCGGGTTAGGTGGGCAGTTATGAGTGGACTGCGAAGGAAAAACGTCCTCATAGCATTTTCGCTTCAGGCTGTTGAGATCTGCTTGTATTTTTTCTTTCTTTTTTTTTCTTTCCTATCAGAACTTTTTGACAATTTTAGTTATCTATATCTTGTTTCTATTATTTGATACTCTTTACTGAAACTGTATAAAGTTTTATATAAAGTTTATTTAACCTTAAATCAACTATCGGCAATTATAAATTATTGTTTTTTGAAACAATGAAAAAAAAAATCAAAAAAATTTATTTTAAATTTCTAAAATAAAATTTTAGTAATTTATAATTACTAAAATTTTATAATTACTAAAATAAAATTTTTAAAAAAATTAAAAGAATGCAAATATTTTTAAAATTTTCACTTTTTCAGTCTCTCTAATCTTATAAATTCGTTTGAAAATATTAGATTAAACTTATATTTATCATCTAAAATATTAAAATATTAATGAAAAGATGATACAATCTGCCGAATGCGAGTGTAATTTCTGAATAAATTTGCTAGAAAGTGCGAAAAAAACCATTTTTTTAAATTTAAGGCCTGGGAAAAAACTAGGCCTTAATCAAAAATTTAAAAATTCTATATTAAAACTTACGGCCTAATGAATTTCTTTTAAAAAAAAAACTTCACGAAAACGTCAGTACAGATTCCACTTGTTAAAGATATGGTTTTTGCATGTAAAAGATGATTAAATTTTAGTTAATTTTATATATAAAAAGGTCGAAAATATTAAAAATAAAACGTGGCAAAATATTCTTTACTGTATAAGCTGATGGTTACATTTTTGAAAGAAAATGGCCACCAATCGTTATCCAAACCTCGCAAGGGAGACGGGTAAGTATTACCGGCTGTAACTCTATAGAAGACAGT